AGGAAGGAAGGAAGGAAGGAAGGAAGGAAGGAAGGAAGGAAGGAAGGAAGGGGAAGAGAAAAGAAAAAGACCCCATGTAGTGTAGACGCTGTTTATCTGAGAGTGAAGGAGGAGAGGCCGAGTGAACGCAATTGCACTACATTATTCTGGCTTTTAATGGTAGAAAGGATAAGAATGTTTGCATGGAACACAGGCAAAGTTAGAGTTGGCTTGAAGAGAAATGTGAAAATTTCTTTCTTAGTGACAATCTGAGCACTTTAGAAATTTGTAAGAATTTTTATTTACTTCCATTTTAATCTATGAAAAGATTAAACTGTTCATTGTATTAAAGGTACCAGAGTCAGCAATATCCATGTGAAAACACTGACCAGTTTCAATGGAAGTTCATGACCACAGAATGAAGAGAAAAAATGTCTTAGGAGTCCTTACAGGTGCTTTTCTGGGACTGTGAAGAACAGGTCCAGAGCCAGCCTGGAACTGTGACCTCAGCACCATCGTGCTGTCTAAGGATGCTCTCAAACCAGGAGTGATGTGGGTGTCCATTCACCAGACCTGAATCCATGTAAAGATATCTTAAGAGCAGCGCATTCTTCTGTTTTTGTGTCTAAATAAAGCATTAGGCATATGTATAGTTCCCTCACTGGAAGAAATCTAAGGGATTATTCAATTCATACATTTTATTTTATACCCAGAGCAACCCAGAGAAGGTAAGAGATTTGCCAAAGAACACAAAATGTCTGATTTATAATCACAGAACTTGTCACAAGACTTCCCTGTGTGTAGCATTAATATAACTGTTCTGGTCAGGGCCGAGGGATGACAATGTGATGGATTTTGTCCAGGTAATGTGTCAAGTCCAGCCAAACTGCTAGTATGAAATGACCTCCACCGTATTGGGGAAAGGAAAGCGATGCTTTCTTCCTCTGTGGAATACGCGGCAGGGGCCCTGCTCACAGCCCTTTCTCTTGCTGCAGACTTCACTCTTGCTCCTTTGCTGTCTGTCACACTCCACTGGCTCCTGGGGACTGCAGGATGCCTCTGTTGAGCACAGGCCCCGTCTCCCTCCCACTCCCCAGGTCACGTGCTAACTCTATTGCTTTCCACATCACTGCCATGTCACAAGCATCTTGGTGTATGAGTATAGAATTGCCTCTATTTTCATTCTATAGATGAGTCTGCAATGCTGCTCAGAAGCCAAGCTGCCCTGAGAAACCCGAAGTGCCGTAGCTTAAAAGTTCTGAATTTGGGGCAAGATGTGGGAGGACTGGAAGTCAGGACCCCTAGGAATGAAGTGGCAGCATTGCATTATCGGCTGTTGCTTCAGTGAGGTGACGGATTAGCTTCTCTCTGGACTAGTTTTTGCTCCAGGTAAGCACTGCACACACGTACTGTTACCTTACCTGTTTTAGTCTTCAGACACAGTTCCTCACCTTACACATCTTGCATACGGGATCTTGCAGCATCAGACCCGACTCTACACCAGTGCTTACCCACTCTCTCTGGCACACACTGGTGCTATCACCTACCAAGTGTGGTTCCTGAGCACTTGACATTCAGCTAGTCTGAAATGAGATGTGTTACAAGTAAAAGATACAGAGTGAGGACCTGGATAGGTGACTCAGTGGTTAAGAGCATTTGCTTCTTGAAGAGGGTTGGAGTTCAGTTCCCAGCGCCCACATGGCAGCTCACAGCTCCTTTTAACTCCAGCTCTAGGAGTTCAGGCTCCATGAGACTTCATGAATGTAGTACACACATATACATGTAGGCAAAACTCTCATACACATAAAAACATCTTTTTTTAAAAAAAGATATTCGATACTGAAATGTCAAAGACTACTATGTAAAAAGTACAAAATATCTTGCTAATATTTTGCACTGGGTGCATATGAACTAGTTCTAACATAGTCAGTACATAGATACCCTCAAATGAGTGGCATTAGTTTTATAAATTTTAGTTTTTACAAGACACATAGGCAAATTTGTTGTACATGTGCCTTCATTCCCTTTTTTTTCAGCATTCATGTAGAGTTGCTTTCTATGTTTGTTTGTTGTCAGCCGGTGCAAAGGTGTGGAAGTGGCAGGCATCATGAGTGGTGTCTAGAGGTAATCTTCTAGTTTCTAAAGAAAAGTCACCTGAGTGAATGGTGAGATGAAGTATCACCTGAATGAAGAATGGGCTACAGACTTTAGGCTCCATTTGACACAGGAGCCTTTATGCAGTCTCCAGGTGACCACATGAACTTAGAAAAGAGGGTGAATAGCGGTGATGGGAAGGCTCTTCCCTGAACTTTCTAGACCTCTTCAATTTTCTCATGATTTAGCAAGGACTGAGATTTCCTCCATCCTTGTGGGACAGAAACTCAGAGGCCCTGCATTTGAGGTATTTGGTTTCCGTGTAGGAGAAGTCCTGCAGTCCTAGGTCACAGAAGGTCAAATCCCTGAGTGTTTATAGTCTCTTAAAACTTTCTGAGGTGGAGACTAGATGCCTGGTGATGAGACGGTCACTCTCTGGAGCAAGTCTCCCACTCCATGTCACTCTTACCATCAATCCCAGGATTCTCCCAGTGACACCCTACAGTCCGTGAAATACCAAATCCTACCACGGCTACCTCCCAACACCCCGGTCACTCTTCATCCTCTCTCAGAGCTGCAATGACGATGCTGGTACTTGTGTTGCCCCAGGAACCCATTTTGAGAACTACTAAGCTAAGGCTCCATGCTATTACTGGAGATGATTCTGGGTTGGTTTTGGTTGTTATTTTTTGTTTTGTTTGGTTTGGTTTTGGTTTTGGTTTTGAGATAGGGTTTCTATATAGCCCTGGCTGTTCTGGAACTCACTGTGTAGACCAGGCTGGCCTCAAACTCAGAAATCTACCCTCCTCCTTCTCCTGAGTGCTGGGATTAAAAGTGTGTTTTAAAAACCCAGCTTGTTTTGTGTTGTTTTTTGAGGCAGTCAGTCCTGCAAGGTAGCCCACACTGGCCTCTAACTAGACATCTTTCTACTACAGCCTATTGAATGCTTGGGTTACAGGCATGAACCACTATGGCCAGCTCAGGCGATTTCTAAAGTTTGTGAACTCCAGTTCTAGTATAATAGATGTGGAAAGAATACTCTATGTGAGATTTTTTTTTAGGGCCAAGCTTTGCTGTTGGGTGTTAGTCCCAGAAGTAACTTGTTCACCTCCACATTGACTCAAGAAGCAGAGAACGTTGCTGTGTGTTAGATTCAAACATCCTCTCTTTGGTGGACAAGCCAAGATGGAGACATCTACCAAAATAAACGACAGCACCAGGCATGTATAAAACTAGCTCCAGCTCTTTCTAGCTCCTCTCCCAGTCTTGAGTGATGCCATGGTTAGAAACTGAGGGTCTGAATGTGCTTTTAGAGAAAAGTCATGGGATTTAGGTTGGATCTAGACACAGAAGAATGGTTCCTGTTGGCACTAAGGATTAATGATCACAGCTGCTGGGCTCCCTGTTGAGGAAAGACTGGGGGAGGGGAAAAGGACTTTATAGGGTGTGTCTGTGCAACTCCACCTGGGAGCTGCCCCGCCCAGCCTGAAGAGCAGTGTGTGCCCAGGTGAGGCATGGTTTCTCAAGGTTCGT